TAGAGGCGGTGAACTCCATTCTTTCTCCTGAGGGGCTCACAGCTAGTGGAGAAGGGGCTGCAGAAAACATAACATTGTAGTGGAATCATCAGTGTGCTGTGTACCTAGCCACAGTCAGAAGTCAAGGAAAGCCTGAAATACAAGGTGACATTTGAGTGGTATTTTGAGATGGAGTTTGCTGGGCAGCGAAGGGCATTCTAGGCAGCTAGGACAGCTGGTGTAAAAACCAACATTTGTGAAAAAGTATGTTTAGCAAATGGTGAGAAGTTGGTGTGGCTTAACTGAAGAGGTATTGGATAAAACAGCAGGGTCTGCACTTGCTGAGAAAGGCTGTTTTTACAGAGACCAAGATAATAGTGGCTTCAACAAGGTAGACCTTTCTTCCCCTCCTCAAAGTCCTAGGCGAAGGTTGGACTCGACCAGGTGGCCCCAGGTGCCCAGGATTGCTCTGGCGTTGCCTTTATTTGTGTGGTTGAAGATGGTTTCAGCGCCAGCCCCCTCTCTGCGTGCGACAGCTGGAGAAGGCATGGCTTGGAGGCTCTCTTCACATCCTGTTAACCAGGCACGGGGACATACCTTCCTGTAAGGAAAGATGGGACATGTAGTTTTTATCCAGGTGGCCATGTGCCCAGCCACACCTTGGGAATTACATTACCAAAAGGAAGAAGCAGAAATTGGATATTGGGAAACCTCCATCCCAGCAGCCTCTATCTTAGGAAGGCGTGGGCTGAAACATGGAGCACTTTATAGGGAGCTGGGAGGTTTTTAAAGCAGGGCAGTACCATTTTTTAAAAAGCATCTTTCCACAGATGGCACCAGCCACAGGGTGGCCAGCAACCATGGGGCTGTTGTAGTAACTGAGGAAGGGGGAGATCTGCCCTGACTGTCTGAGTGGGCCTGACTTTCTGGTGGTTTGACAGGCTGGGCGTTGGTGGGTTCTGGCCTGTGTGGTTGCTGAACATCTCCCAGGAGCCAGGGACCTGTTGGGGTCTGAGTTCAATCTGCAGGTTGGTGCTCTTTATTTGAGGTTTATCTGAGAATACATTTTTATAGCTTGTTAATAATGTGAATTGGTGCGGGGGGGGGCGCCTGGGTAGCTTAGTTGTTTAAGCATCCAACTCTTGGTTTCATCTCAGGTCACTATCTTGGGGTCCTGGGCTCAAGCCCCATGTCATTGGGCTCCGCATTCAGCCAGGAGTCTGCTTACTCCTCTCCCTCCCTCTTTGCACCCCCCGCCCGGCCTGGCCCATGCTCCATCGCTTGTGCGCTCTCTCTCTCTCAAATAAATAAATAAAATCTTAATATGAGTTGGAGCTGTGGAGAAATGACAACTGTCAAGAGTATAAAGGGGTCCTTCAGTGTCCTTTGACACTGTGAGCTTGAGTAAGCCCCAGGAGAGGGGGCAGGGCCGTCCTTCTCGGGCCCCTGACCCTCCCTGGTTCTGCAGACAAGTTACTTACTTCACTTCTCCGCTCTGCTTCCTGGGCTCTAGAAGGGAAAATCATTCTGATGCCTCCCTCACTTGTCAGTGTGTTTAATTGCACATCCCTGTCATGCTTTTGAAGTCGTCTCCCTACTTAGAACAAAAACTTCCTTATCGGAATACCCGGGGAATTCCCCAGCATTTCTTGTGTGCCCGCTGGGAGAGACGGAAGGCAGGGGTATAGCTTTCTCAGTCAGACAGTTGAGGCTTCCCATGCAGGATCTGCCCCTTATTTAGCTGCGTAGCCTTGACCGACAAGATATTCCACAGCCCCTGTGAACCTCTGCTTCCTCATCTGTAAAACACAACAGGTATTATCTGTCCCAGGTTGCTTGAAGGGTCAGAGAGGGCCCTGCAGGCAGCTGGCTTGGTGCTTGCAACAGTGCAGGCATTCCTGGAGAATTCTTGAAGGCTCTCATACTCTGTTTACCCAACTTCAGGCCTTGAGTATGTCTTCTCTGTGGGGCAAATGTGGTGTTCCCCTCTTCACCCTGCAGCCGAGGTCAAGGAGTGCTCCCTGCGTCTCTAATCCTTCCTTATGCTCTGATTCTCTGGGCCTTCCAGGCGGCCAAAAACTTGACTGTGTTTATATGGCTGGTCACATTATGGCAAAATCAAATACACAGGGTGTTTTTTAAAAAGGAATTTTGGCACAGTCTCACCTTTTGATACTTTATCTCCCCGGTCAGCTTGTGCTCTGAGGGAAACGATCTCTCTTGGATGTAAAGACCCACACTGTAAATAGGTTGACCTTCAGCCCTGGAAATGTGGAAGGACAGGTCAAGTGTCAGAGTCTGAGCCCCTGCCAACATGCTCAGAAGTGACACGGTATTCTTAGAAGGGATTTTTGTTTTAGATAGTTGCCTTCCTCCCCCCACCCAAAAACAGTGACACCGGAAGATTCTAGCCTGTTGTGAGGGTGAGTCATGTAGGAATGTGTTGGTTCCCTGCCTGATCTCCTAGGCATAGATTGGCACTGCCTTTTGTGGGGCCAATCCATGTTCAGTTAAGAGATGCCGCCAATTGGGTGTCAGCCCTCCCTGACCCCATGTCCCCTCAGTCACAAGGCTGCCATTTTATAACCATGAGGCCTCTCCCCAAGATGAGCTTTGTGGGAACTTATTCTTCACTTGATTGTGAGTGGAGGAAATATTTGCTTAATTACGGGCCCCTCTTGAGCCTCTTGAGTGGCGTTTGTTGTTGGCAGGAGGTGAGAAAAAATATGAGGTCTGTCTTGAGGTTGGGCTGTTGGCTCTGGCCTCGGGGAAGAGGCATCTTCTGTTCGCAGCAGACCTTTGCTAAGTGGCAGAGCGGCTTGGGTCTGGTTTTCAGCTGGCTGAAATGCCAAGAGCGCTTGCAGTGACATTTCCCACATGAGGCCGAGAATCTTAAGTGTTCAGACGTTGTCCCCCTCCAGTCCCTAAAGCTCCAAGGAAAATTCTAAATGTCTTCACTTTGTACTTATTTTCTTCTCTTTCCTCAGTGCTTGAGAAACCACACTGACTTCCTGAATCGAAATGTTCTGCAGTGAAGCTTTGCATATTGAATTGAGCGAGAACGGGGTGTGGGGGGTGGTAGGAGGTGGAGGGGGTCTGACAGGCGCTTTCGGTGGCCTCTTGCTCGAAGGGAGACACTGGGTCACCGAATGCTCCCTTTACCTGTGATTCTGTATTTTTTTTGCCTGCTGTGTGGCCTTAAACACGAAGGACAGAGGGATTTTGGTAAGTCACTGGCGTAGCTGTTCTGGGCACGGGAGGCTCCATACTCTCCTCGAGCGTGAGCGGCCCTGTAGCCACGCCCTGCTGCCACCTTGTCTTTGGTTCAGCCCAGAAAGAAGCAAAGGGACTGGTCTTCCCTGCTGTGCTGGCTTTGGTTCCCCGGTGAACCCCGAACCCCTGCCCCGGGCCCTTCCTGCTCCCTCCGCCTCCCCTTCCAGCTTGCCACACCCCGGGATTCGCCCCCACTCTTTGCACCGCTCATTTCCTCTGTGTGTGTTCAGGCTGGGCCTCTCTCCTTTCCTTTGATGCCACCTTCCACGTTCTCAGAATGACTCATAATAGTGATCTCTTGTCAGCACCCCTTCCTTACTTCACCTTGGTGTTGTGTGGTTTCACATGTGTCGGGAGGATTTTCTCCTCCTGCCCCTCCCTGCACTTTGGAGAGGGACGGGAGACTGAATCCCATGCTCTGCCCTCCACCGTGATCCAGGCCCCCACCTTTGTTTACTACTTCAAGGCTAGAACATTGTGCAATAACCTTCCTAAGAATTGCTCTGATTGTATTCTTCTTATCTTTCGAGTGGTTTTTCTCACTGAGGGCTCATTCCTAGGATGAAAGACTGAGTTAACTCTCTGGTCCAGCCAGGAGCACCATAGGTGCTTCAGTTTCTTTTTGGGTTCACAAGACCACCACTGCTTGCACCTGCCGTTTGCCATCATGGGTCACGAATACTCTGAACTGGGCCAATAATGGCGACTGATGTCAGAATTAGTTGAGAGATAATCAACACTCATCCATTAGCATTTATTCAATTCATTCTTCCCCAGGGGTAGAGAAGTTGCGGAAGACTGGTCTTGTCCTGGGTACATTGGATATGTTGTTGTGTTTACAGTTTAATTACAAGGCCTCTTTGATGGACTTTTTATGGATTCATCGACTTTCACAGGCATTACGGTGCGCCCCTTGAGCACACAGTCTAGGCCAGGACCTGTGAGGAGTACGGGTGGTGAATTGGGAATAACCACTGATGGAAATTGGCCATCTCACAGGGAGATGGGTTGGATACTAAAATACCCAGAAGACAGAACCTAATAAGGGCAGTAATAGAAGATCTGGCAAAACACTGTGGGAATATAGAAGGGAGGGAAGAGGTTAATTCCGCTTGAAGTGTTCAAAACACCAGCATATCCTGGAAGACCTGGCCTCTGCCTTGATGGAGGAACACCTATTGCTTTAATGGTTGGAAGCCCCACAAGAATACAAGCATTGCAAGAGCGGGACCATGACTGTTGGGTTGACTGTGTGCATCTCCTGTGTCTCAGACTCAGGATATATTTGGATGGATGAATGGAAAGAAGTACAGGCGGATGAACAGTTGAGTGAATTAAATGAAGGCACAATCCCAGATGGGGGGGTGGCTTGAATGGTAAGAGTAGCAGGAAGAGGTTAGACATATCGGTGAAATTGTAGCTGGTTTGGCTTACACGTAGAGTGATTGAAAGAGAATGGTCCGAGAAAGGGTTGGGAAGACTGACTGAGCCCAGAAAGCACAGGAATTGTGGCTTCACTTTGAAGAAAGTGGGCTGCTAAACAGTATAGGAAATGTTTCAGGTAGGTCTCGTACGTTTCAAGAATGGAATTTAAATTGGAAGAAGGTCCCTGATGTGGGTGCATCTGGCCGCTCCCTGCTGTGGGTACGGAGCTGAAGACACCCGTTGGGGCCATGAGGTTAGTTAGCTAGCAGCCGCCAGGCCACAGCCAGGTCTGGGCTCTCATATCCCTGTCTTCTTCTCTCTAGACGTGTGCAACAGCACCGATCTTCCGGAAGTCGAGATCATCAGCCTGCTGGAGGAGCAGCTGCCCCATTATAAGTTAAGAGCCGACACCATCTACGGTTATGACCACGACGACTGGCTCCATACACCCCTCATTTCTCCAGATGCCAACATTGACCTCACAACCGAGCAAATCGAAGAGACGCTGAAGTACTTCCGTGAGTAGTTCCCTTTCGTCTGGTGATGGTGCTGTGACGGCCAGTGGTCCTTAGCCGTGGCCCCACGTGGGACCTCGTACCGGCTAGCAGGGCTTATGGCCTGCCATTCGTGGAAGGGTGTCCCGAGAAATGTGGCTGTAGGGTTCAGCCACACACAAGGCCTTGATTTTGAGTATTCTGAATAGAAATTTTAGGGTGGTGGTGACCAGGTACAAATTTTCATTTGAACCAGTTTTCTCTTAACTGTACAGGAGAATTTGAAAATGTTCCCATTTCCCCCCCTCTTACCAAAATACCGTATGAGTCTGTAGAAACTCACTGGGAAGGAGTTTGCGTTTAAACCAAAGTCACTGGGAACATCTTGGCTGCTTAGTATTGTTTATATGACATAGCGAGACACGTATACCAAGGCTGACCAATGAGGTTGGTAGGACAGACCAGCTCTCCTTTCTCTTGACAACCCTGACTTTAAAATTCAAGTTAACTTTAGCCTCGTCTAAATTAGTGATGTCACTTTGGAAGTGAGATCATTTACATACCTGTGTATCATTGTGTTGTCTTCAAAAATAAAAAGTACAGCAATCCTGCTTCTATTTGATGGTAACTTGGTTCAAAACCAGCTTATAACATCCGTACGTTTTCTGTAATTATTGTCTCAATACAGAGTGATCTCCAATGTTCTTGAATTTGGGAAATCATTTATAATAAACAAGTTGGAACTACAAGTTTCTCTTTTAGAATGTGTCTGGGGCTATTCTCACTTTTTTCTCCATTAGATGTTAATGAGAAAGGAATTTTGTTTAAACTGACCTGTGTGTTTATACCTAAGAAGAATCCTACAGTCTCTGTAAACACGGCAGGTAATCAGTTTTGATCGGAATAAAAATAGAATAATCCACACCAGGGCAGATATGAAGCGTGTTAGACTTGTACCAGTGTTCACAGTGGTGCTTTAGACTTTCTGACGTGTCTGGTAGTGTATAGGAAGCTCTTTGGCAGTCACTTTTGTTGACTCACAGTATCTGTTATACCAAGAGATGTGGTGTTAGATAGAAAACTGTGTCCAGAGTCATGTCCTTGGCAGGTTCCGTCTTTGGTTCCTTCAGACTGCTTCACGGTAGAATTCACAGCAGAACGGTTTTTTCAGAAATCCCCGTGTGTTACTTCTTCTTCTTTAAGAGACCCTCCTGTGATTCTGTGGGACTCTGCATGGCCATTTCTGCCAGAGGAGGCTCCTGGGTCCCTACACAGATGAATCACTTACAATCACAGTGTAATGGGAACCGTCCACGGGCAGGACTTCAGTATTTTTGGAGAACTTTCATATGAATTGCTCCTTTCATTCCTATGCAATGTCTGCAGTCTGGGCAGGGCTGGTTTGATTATCGAGGAAGTGGAAGCATGGAGGGCTCGTATTTCTAGTATTTCTTCCATAGCACTGACCTCCAGCTTCTGAAATACTTGCAAACAGTAGACTTGAACAGACGCTGTGGGCTTGTTTCTGTTTGTGCGCTCTGTTTTTGGTTATATATTTAAGAGAGGGAGAAAAAGGTCCTGTTGGATTTGGCAGTGGACAACACAGATTATGCCAAAATTAGAAGAAGCGAAGTAAACGCTGAGCAGAGACCCTGAAAGTTCTTAGACCATGGTCGCCCCCCAAGTCTTACCTTAATTCTGTGTTTCCTTCTGCGTTACTTGTGCTTAGAGCAAAGTAGGTATTGATTAAAACTGTTGATTAAGTGAACGATCGGGGGTAACTCTTAAATATAGCACACTCCTCAGCAGGGCTTTCAAATGGAGGTCCTAGGACCCCCGAAGAGTCTGTAGAGGGAAATTGGGGGAGTCTGTGAACTTGTAAAGAAATGAAATGACATGACATCTTTATTTTCAGTAACTTCTAACTGAAATGCAGCATTTCCTTTCACGGTGAACACAGGAACCAAAGCACGGTGTTCTCAGCAGGTCCTGTGACTTTGTCACCAATAGAAATCAAGATTTTCATGTCCTGCTGCAGTGGAGACAGGACTCCCCTTTGAAATGCCACCTTTATTCATCACTGCTTTGAAGTTACCTTCATTATGAGGCGTGCCGATCTTGTTATTTAATACATTGACAAAGAAGCCCTTCTATCACAGTCTATTTGCAAGTTGTCATAACCGCATTGCAATACAATCGGTTTCCTTCCTAGTTCTTTGTACTTTGTTATGTTTTCGACTCTTTCTTCTAAGGAGGGGTCTGTGAGCCTCGCCAAACTGGCTGAGAGGTCGGTGGAAGGCGCAGATCAGAGCCCTGCTCCATGCGTGGTGTCGTTTTTGGGCTCCACTGTTTGTTTATAGGTGTGTAACCCAGGAGATGCCGTGGCCGCAGCGCTGTGACTCACCGGTGTGTAAAATCAGTTGTGAGGTGTGGAGAAGGTAACAGAGCTGTTTCCTCTTAGATTTATTTTCTTATCAGTTAGGACACTGGTTCTCTGTTGTGGGTGGGAATGGGGATAAAGGGGTAGCCTAGGGGTTCTGATAATAGGAGATGAGGTAAGCCTTGGCTCCCTCTCTTACAGACTGTCTCCCAGAGGAGAGAAATGACGCTTTGCCTTTTGAATCTGGCCCTCCCCTGGCTTGTTTTGTTTTTTTTTTTTTTGTTTTAAGTAGCTTCCACGCCTAACATGGGCTTGAACTCAAGACTTTGAGGTTAGGACTCTGCATCTGGCTTGGGCCCATGCAAGAAGCCCTCTAGGCCTCTGCTGGTATCCTGCACGGACTTGCTTGCCTTGCCTTGGGAGAAGCGAGTGGGGTCTGGTCCCTGTGCCATTTTAATTTTTTTTAAAGTTTAATTTAAACAACAACAACAACAAAATGAAAGACCATTGCGGAGCACCTGAGGCCTGTGGCAAAGTGCCTCACTAAGCTTATGTGCGGTGCCGGCCTTCCACGGGCCAGGGGTCATGGACCGGTCCCCCTGCCCCTCACCCCCGTACTCCGGGGTTGTGCCCAGGGAGGACTGGAGCCCACAGTCGGTATCATACGCCGATTTCCACTGTGTTCATTCACTTGTGTCCATGTGGTCCCAGGCATCACGATTGTTTGTACGAGCCTTTGTGTTACACTTTACCACCCTAGGACTATCACAAGGCAGCCGGAGTCTGCTCGGGACGAGGCATGAAGGCCCAGAGCATCTGCAGGGGGTCTAACTGGCCAGAGCGTGGGCTGGACCCCAGCGTCTCTACCCGGCCGTCCCTGGAGGTCCTGGTGCCCCTGGAGCAGGCGTGATGCAGTGACCACTCCCTTCTGGACACTTGCCGTTCCTGCTCCTCGACTTTCCTCCTGTCTCTCTGGCCCGTCCTTCCAACCTCTTTGACCAGTTTTCCCTCTTCTTCTGAGCTTCTAAATCGGTAGGCGTCGACCCTGATGAACTGAGAGAGCTTTTTAAAAAATAAGCCCTCACAAGCCTCCCCTCTGGAAGTGGTCATCTGAAGCCCGTAACTGAGGGGCTGCTGGAAATGTGGGCATGCCCTGCGGGCATCTCTCTGAACACTCTCCTCCTCCCAGCTCCGCGCTTGCAACTCGCCAATTTCTGCCCACGTCTGACTCCCCTTCCTCCCTCCCGGCTCCAGGCTCCTGGCTCCTGTGCCCAGTCATTGGCTTAGCAGGTCCACTGTCAACATTTCCCCCCCATCCTTACACGCTTGTCTTGAGAAATGTGACATGCTTTACCCCAGTTCTGCATCCTGCTGGCCATCAGCCGACTCTATTAATTCTTCGTGCATGTGCGTCTTGGACCCCTTCTCTGACCCTGCATCCACCGGCATGGACGAAGCCACTGCCATCCCGTCCCTGGGCTGCCGTACCTGCTCGCCTGTATCCACCTTGCTTCTCTGCAAATACTCTTTTGTATCAGCAGCCCGGCTGGTCTTTTCTCGAGATCCCCTGGGGCTATGCTGCTCCTTTGCTTCTCCCTGCTCTTTGGATCAAAGGCAGGGTCTTCTGGAACCCTGTGACCTGGCTCTTGGCCCTCTCTGCCGCCAGCCTCGTTGCACCCTCCCCCTTCGCCCTGCACCAGCCCCACTGTGGACACCCCACGCTTGCCTCACGGAGGCTTCCTTCCTCCCCTTTCTTTCCTGATCTCTGATTCTCAGCCCAAATGTGCCCTCCTCTGAAGAGCCTTCCTCCAGGAAACCTTCCCGGAGCACCCATCTGTGGTGCCCCCTCCCTTTCCTTTTTGCTACCATCATGGCTCTCATCTGTCTGCTCCCATCATGATAATGCAAGCAGTAATAATAATGAGTCACCTCTGGGGAGTGCTTCCTGTTGGCCGGGCTAGTGCTCCTAAGCGCTTTACCTTCATGAGTCCACTAGGACACACACACTGGATTTGAAGTCCATGATCCCCTCTTTGTCAAGTGATTTTTTTCGGATATAGTGCAACTGTGTATCCAAATTGAATTGGCCGTTTAATCCTTAATTTAGTTTTTCAAGGTATTAAACTTCGCTTTCATAGAAACAGCTCTTTTTCTGTGCGACTCATGAAATAATAAACGTAACTGTATAATTACATTAACAAGCAAAACGGACACGGACGGGTTTGGGAACGAACACAAATGACCCTTGGTAGGGAAAAGAGCTCAATTCCTACGAGCCCACGTGGCCAGGCTGGAGAGACACTGGTCTGTCTGCGGGCGGGCAGCGGGCTCTCCGGGGGCCACGGGGGGCCACGGCTCCTTGTTGTGGCTCTAGAGCGGGCTGTGGCACCTCCGTGTGCAGTTGAATTATCCCCAGCAGTGTTGTAGTTCTGCCTCTCCTCGGACCAGGCCTCTCTGGTCTGGCTTGTTCCTGTTCATTTTTGGTAAATCTCTTTTCTCCTTCCTCTGCTTAACACGGATGCTTGTCAGTCTCCCGTCTTGGGGTCTCCTGCCTCCCCCACCTCCTTTGCTTTAGCTGTTGCCTCTCTGGAGGCGGCTTCTGCATTTCTCTCTGCACCCACAGGAGGCATTGCCAGAGGCTTCC